ACCTATAGTTTTTAGCTAGCCACCACCGATCACTTGGATATTTACTATTTATGATAATTAGTAGAAAAATATATCTATATAAGCCATGTAAAGTTATAAATAATAAACTATTATTTATTTATTTGTTACATCAAATATGTGACACTCATTTATTAATATTTAACTTTTATCAAATAATAATTACAACATAACGTTTGAAAATATCTTATTACGAGTAGTATCCATAAATAATTATTTAAATAAGAAAACATAATCGTATGATTTTTTTCCTTTTTATAATGAAAAGGAAATGTCACGCCTTCAAAGAACAAGACATCCACAACTATGTCTAAATGAGTGTTTGGCTAAATTTATAAGACGTTAAAAAATTTATAAGTGAAGGTGTCGAAAGTTCGCACCCTCAAGAATCTCCCACCAGGACTCCGGTTATGAGTCTTCCGGCAGAAATCCCAATATATAGATGATGATAAGAATATTTGTTGATCTTTTATTACTCTCCTTTTGTTTTATATTATTGTGTCTATATCCTCTAGAACGATTGTTACAAAGGTTTTTATAAGCTAATTGTTTCCCGGCAATCAAGGGGACATATTGCGTCCATTACTCCCGTCCCTTCTCCTTGGTCTTGATCTTGGGCCTTATATAGAAGATCTGATTGCCTCTCAATCTTATTCTCATGCTAAAATCGCGCTATCCCCCTAACATCCGCGATTCTTCCAGCCTTAATCATGAGGGCTTCGGTCGCCCATTAATTCGCTTGGGCCGTCGTTTCTCGCCAACGTTCAGTTCCATTGGGCCTTGTTTGAGTGTATTGGAGAGAAACCCAATAAAAGACATATGTTACCCTTTGGGCCGAGCTTTGTTCGATAGGTCTGTTTGGGCTTAGTTATCGTGAAATTCGTCCCACTTGGCCCAATCTCCCTGCGGGCTGCCGTTTTTGCTCCTGGGCCCATTACAAATGGCTGGGTTGACAAACTGGGCCCTATCATCTAGTCCCCCCTATTCTCGAGTGAACCTAAAAATGGTTCGCTGGAGAATACGCTTGGTGTGGTTTGAAGCATCGAAGAAAGAGAGAAGCGTAGAAAATTGGAAAAGAGAAAACGGATTTTACACCATTAATCGTGCGAGCTTTTCTTCACCACGTATTTATTTTGTAAACACACGCCCTTTCCCAATGCTTTGTCATTATTGCCCCGCGCCTTGAGTCCCGCGCTCTGTTTAGGAATTTCTGCCAGTTACAGCTACCCGGACCCCGTGTCTTAATCCCCGCCTTCTATCGCCGTTTGATCCGACGGTCCCTTTTACGGGATCGTTTCACCTTACTTTTTCCCGCTCCTATATATACTTTCTCCTTCATTTCATCCGTTTCTTTTACCAAACTTATTATCCTGTTTCGCCTTTTTGCTACTCGCTCTTTTATTCCAGTTCGCTCAACGTGAAAACCAGCCTTGCGCGTTCCTTAGCCTCCTTTTCTTTCTAAGACATCAGGTATTTCTCCGTTCTCTGCCTCATTTTCTTTGTTCTTTAATACGTCTATAAAAACTTCCTCTCTTCTTTGTAATTCTTGAATCGTTGTGTCATGGCTTTCGATCCTTCGTCGTCATCCCTTCGTCCCCTTTCTTCTGCCGAGCGTAAATTGCCTCCGAATGAGGATCCTTCATTAGTCCTAGGGTCATCTTCGTCTTCTAGTTCTTCCTCCTCTGACTCCTCCTCTTCTTCTGGCACGCTTTCTGACACATCTCGTCCCCTTATAAACCTGAGGCCTCGGCCGGTGACTCAAAAGGTTAGGAAAAACGCCAAATCAGGGGAAGCGGGAATTTCAGAGAGCTCCCTCGTAACACTTCGCCATATAGAACTTTTTATGCGCGACGTGGGCCTTCCTTCAGGTTTTTCTATTGCGACTCCTCGTGAGAACGAGCGACCTTATTCTCCTCATCCTAACAGCGTCACCTTCCATTTAGGCCAGTTCTATGCTGGCCTCGCTCTTCCCCTTCATCCGTGCTTCGTCGCAGTTTCTAAGAAGTATGGTATCCCTATCAATCAATTCCATCCCAATTCTATTCGCTTTATGTCGGTCTTCTATTGTGTATTGGCGTGGCAAAGAATAGAACCGACCGCTGATCGCTTGTTCGCTTGTTTTATTGCGAAGAAGTACTCCACCTATATGTTTTACTTAGCCGCCCGTGCCGGTACCAAGTTTATGGACAAGTACCCCAATAAGGTGCATTATTGGGATCGATATTACGTTTATATTTCTTCCTCTACCCCATTTCCTTTTCCTACTCAAATGATCAATGAAACTCCTCTTTTTGACAAACCTCGTATGGATTCTACTTTGAGGAATTTCCTGGATCTAGTTCGCCCGGGTTGGTTTCATGTGGAAAAATTAACTCGGAATTCGCGCATCTTAACGCATTTTGGCTTGAGATGGCTCAGCTCGACTGTCACCCCTTATCACAACATAAGTATAGCCTCATTCTCCTTATGTGCCTTCATCAGCGTGCATCCATGTGTTTTCTATTAACTCCGCTTTTTTTTTTTTTTTTTTTTGGTTCGCAGGAATGGAGTTCAACAAACTCTTCTATAGCGAAGAGAGTTCATTTGACATCTTTTCAGAAGGTGAGACGAACCCGATGGTCCCTACCCATATTGGTGATCTGGCCCAACATTCCTCTTCGCAGCCGATATTGCCTGATAATGTCGACGTTGTCGCTGAGATGGACATCTCGGAGAAACGTAAGAAGAAAGAGGTCGCGGCTGGTTCATCTTCGCGCAAAAGGGCTTGCGCTTCTTCTGATCATCAACCCCCGAACATTATCGACTTGAGTTCGAGTGCGGGCGTTGGGGTGCAGGCCCAATTAGGCTTGACTCCCGTGAGGGGGGGTTTTAGTTTTGCTGAATGCGAGGATGGTGCTGAGATCGGCAAGATATTTCGTGAGCAGGCGACTCCTAGAGATCGCGAGTTATGGGGCAAAATGAGCCTGGACCATCGCATTGATCGCTCCAACTACCATTTGGCAAAGGTACCTCTGCCATTTCTTAATTTTCTCTTTTCCCTGCGTTCATTTTCTTATTTATTGGCGAAGGATTATGTTCTCATAATTCTGGTTCATATACAGTTGCAGACGTTGTGGGCCACCTGCCCCTCTCAGCGGAGTGATACCCTCCGCGAGGCGTATAACCGGTTGAAGAAAGATCGCAAGCAGCTGAATGACGAGAAACAGCTGGTGGAGAAGCGAAACGAAAGGTTGGAGGAAGACATGAGCAACTTACGCGTGGAGTACTTTTTTTTTTTTTTGAGAAAATTACTTTAGACTTTCAATGATGCATTAATTATTGTTTTACCAATATTACCCTTATTAATTTGAAATAGTTAAAATGAAATTAATTAAACTAAGATTAATGATAGGGGTACTTTAGTCGCATTATATGTCTAAAATCAACACATATTTCATTTATTAGTTTTCTTACTATGTGTACAACAACCCAAAACGTCAATTATTTTGGAAGAAAGGGAGTAATTAATTAGGAGTGAGGAAATGGAAAATTAAAAATACTGCAATAAATATTTCATTGAAAATCTTCGACTTTATTTTGCAATCACCTCAACTTGTACACTTGCATGCGGATAATTTAGGATATTTGCAAGAACTCGATAATCAAGTTCTTCCCAATTGATAAACGCGCAAGTTGTAAGGTTGTATGAGTAATTTCCCTACTAATAGCTTTACTAATCTTGATATGATCTTACTTCGTTAGGGGTAACTTGAGTTGAAATGCGCCGAGCCGCCGTGACTACGATAGGTTCAATCCGCACAAAATGAAGATCGACACTCTAGTCAGAAATTGTAGAGACAAAACTAATTCAAAAATTAGGGAATGCTTAGAGAACAATAAATTATGTAATTTACACTAATGAATTTAGAGGTAAATATAAAATATAGGGATGAATTAGAGGTATATATTAGGGTAAATTTATTTTGCAATCATGTACTATGCAAAATGTATCATTTACCTCCATGTATAGAAAATATCAGACGCCCCTCTATTTTTTACGGTCAATGGTCAAAATGTTAACGGTGTTAACTTTGAGTGTGCAATGATTTTTATACCACATTTTATGTCTGATCTCTCTCGAATCTCTCTCCCTCTCTTCGATTTTTAGAAGAAACAAAACCTACGAAATCTCTATCAATCCCAATGTTTTTGTGAAATAAGTTGAAGAACTCTTGTATGAGCACATTAGAAGGATGAACTTGGAAAAAATGCTAACGACTGGGGGTGATTGATGTTTTTTTATACATCAGAGAAGAAATGATATATTTCACATAGTACATGGGTGCAAAATGAATTTTACCCCGTATATTATAAATATAAGTATTTCTTTAGTTGGAGTCTTTAGTGGGCTCGTACCCCATTAATTTGTAGCATTAATTCCTTGGGCTTTTAAATGCATTGATATTAAATAATTACTTGGGCTTGCCCTTATGGTGGCCCATTAAAGCTGTGTACGTGATCATCGAAAATCCTTGTATATATAAAGCAAAAAAAAAAAAAAACAATAAATAAAGATACAAAACCTTATTGAATCCAAAAGTCACATTCCTTAGCTCTGCGCCATCGGTATATGTAATGTCGAGATCCCATCGAATCAAATACATGCGTTTACAAGAGAAGTATTCGATGTGCTGATTTTCACTTATATCAAGTTTTCGTTTACGGCACTAATCAACCAAGAAACGGGCGTTGTCCGAGATTTTCTACGCCTTCGTCCAAAATGTTTAAGCTTCCAATATTGATCGGTACTTCTCCATAATGAAGAAGTTCTTACAAAACCAGCAAATCGGATATTCCTTATTTTGGTATTCTATACTCTTTTTGGTGGAGAAAAAGAGAGCAGCGTTTTGATCGAGTCGTAAACTTTGATCGGGTTCCGTTTCTTCTACCAGATATGAATTTCCACAAACTGTTTTTGCCCAACCTAAAAAAAGATATCATATAGCATAATATACGAAATGCAGCTCGTTTCACTTGCAATGAATGATGCATAGAATAAAAGGAAGTGTAAATACAAAATTATTGTTAGGTTCAAAATCAACTAACATAAACTATCATGAGATGAGATAATTCCTACAACATTCCCAAACTATTAGGGGTGAGCAAAAAAACCGAGAAACCAAAAAAGCCGAGCCCATATGTACCGTCCAGACTTAAAACCGCATACACAGTAAAATTTTTTTTTGAAAAATATGGAGAATAATAAAATTACCGAACCCATTTAAGAATATAAAACAACATCGTTTGAATATAATATAAATACGTACCGTGTATTTGTTTATGATAATAAATTTGTTTTTGTTTTTCGGGTTGTGACATGTTTTTTATTATTAGTTAATTTTTTGTTGTTGGTTAATTTTCTCAAACAAATGTGAAGAAAGCCAAATTCATTGTTAATCAAATTATCCCTAATTCATTGTTAATCAAATTATCGGTTTTATGCCGAACTGATAGACGAAATCAAAACTGAAAATAAACCGAATTGATACCAAACAGATAACCAAAAACAGATAACCAAAAACCGAAAACCGAAAAATCGATTAGCATCGAACCGAGAAAAAACCCGACATGTTCGATGTTTAAAATATGAAAAGCCGATATTATCTGTACTCATTTGTGTTTATTGCAAAAACCGAGCCGTACGACCCGTGCACACCCCTAGAAACTATGACAACTCTAGTTAGAAACACTAGAGGCAGAGTTTACACTACATATCATACATAATCAAGAGGTTCAGGAGACATAATCAACGAGGTTGAGGAGGCTCCAAAAAAACAAGAAGCATCGACTAGCGAATCATCAAAAGAAGCATTGGCTAGCAAATTAGGAAAAGGGTTATCATCGACAAAGCCATCATCGAAATCAACGACAGAGATTTCATCTTGAGGCGGCATTTCATCGAGCACCTTAGCTTTGGCATCAGCAATGGAAAGAGCATCAAAATCCTCGACAATGTTTTGGGTCAAGAGCAAATCTTGGTACACACCGAAATGATGAGTCTTACAGATAAGCTCGAAAAACTGACGTTGGTCTTCGTAAGCTTCCGACGCCTCCTCTGCGCTACTGAAAGTACCAATACACACCTTCTCTTCTAAAATAGGGTGCCATATATCCGCAGCCCATGCGCCCGAGTCGCACAGTCTTACACCTCTGTATTCTCTCTCTATACGTGTAACGGTCTCCGATTCAGGGGCGGCTCTTGACATGTTTTCTCGGCTGCAACAACAGACACCCCCCGATATTGTATTAACGAAAACAACTAAAGCCACATCAAACAACTTCTAAACCGAGGTGTCAAAAATAAATATATATATATATATATATATATATATATATATATATATATATATATATATATATATATATATATATACACACACACAAGTGTAACCGGTTTATTTTTTGGTGGTAAACCAACCCAAAACGCACAACTCCATACCATGTCGATAACAACCACAAAAAAAAAAGTGAAAACAATACAACCCCCATCAATTAACTGACCAAGAACGAAAATTCTCATATGTTATATCGAAAAATCTGAAGCAAAAAAAATTAAGAAACATACGAATGAGTATACGATTTTGTCTAATTGCTTATTTTGGTGAACTCCAAAATAATAAATAATTAATATCAAACAAAGATCACAACAGGCCAAGGGAACAACCAATAAACCCAAATCAACCCTATAACCCCCAAATCATAAAAATCATAAACCCTAGAAAATAAAAAACAATCAAAAAACAGCCACAAAATAATAGAACCACCATCAATTGACTGCAAATAGAGAGATTATGGAGCATCGTAGGTGATTATCATACGTTAAATCGAAAGTCAGAAACAAATCAAATAAGAAAATTAATTTGCTTTTCGTACCTGCTTCTTCTTTAGTTCTTTCTGGCTGCTAAGAATGGGTTTTCTACGTTCAAGTTTTAGGGTTTATATATTACTCGGTGCCTTCCTGTGGGCCGGGCCGCCGGTTCAGGCCCGATCATAGTTCAAAATTTCAAATTATATACTAAAGGCTATCCGTAATTTAGCTCAAAAGTTGGGGAGAAAATTGGACGGACTGATGGGGATTAGCACTTTCATTAATACAAAAAAATTGGAAATTAGAATTTCGGAAATTGAAAAGAAAAAGTTCTTTACTCGGGAAATTATTGAAACGGAATTCGTGGAATTTGAAAAAACATCCATTTATTGAGTCACCTAAAATTTAAAATGTAATATTGATCCTGTATATCTCAATTCCGATTGAATTCAAAAATTTTGAAAATCGGAATCTCGTGTAAATTTCAATTCTGATTCAAAATCATTAAGGAAAAAAAATCGAATTGGAATTCGGAATGAAGAATGTTATTCCAATATCGAAAAACATTGGATCGAAATCGAGAATCCCATCCCAATTTCCACCACTACTCTAAAGGTTAAACTTAATTTTAGATAATCTATAGTTTTTTTAGCTAGCCACTGATCACTTGGTTATTTTACTATAGTATTTTACTTTGTTATGAATAGTTAGTTAGAAAAAAATACTGTATATATTTATTTAGCCATGTTAATTTATTGAATAATAAACTTTTATTTATTTATTTGTTATATCAAATGTGTGACAATCATTTATTAATATTTAACTTTTATCAAATAATAATTACAACATAACGTTTGAAAATATCTTACTAAGAGTAGTAGCCATAAATAATTATTTAAATAAGGGAAACGTAATCGTATGATTTTTTTCCTTTTTATAATGAAAAGGAAACGTCACGCCTTGAAAGAACAAGACATCCGCAAATAGTGTGGTTGACTAAGTTTATAAGATGGTTAAGATTTTATAACTTTACCAAAAAGTTTGGTAAAAAAAATCTTAAAAAATAAGTTGTTGGAGAACATTCACACTCAGGGGCGGAACCAGGATCAAAATGTAGGGGGAGCTAACTAAAATTTTGGGGTTCGGGGCAGCCCCCGGAAAAAAATTTTAGGTGCACAAAATATTGCAAAAAATAAGTTTATATAACTAATTTTTAATTAAAATATCATATATATTATATATATATATATCTTATTTTAATCATAACAAAAAATTCTAAATTAATTCAAATTATTCTAATAATATACTGCACTTAATATTTCGGAGATTCATGGCACGATCTCATCTTTTTTTTTAAGGCGTTAGATAAAAAAAATTCAAAAATAAGTAATATTCATAAATTTTATTTAAAATAATACAAGTTTTAACCATCTTATTTATATTTGATATTAAATATGATATATTTATCTATAATTTATATAAGATTTTGGAGAAAAAACAAAGAAATTAATGGGTTAAGATAAATATTTACAAAAACTTTGGGGGGGGGGAGGGGGGGGCAAAAGTAATATTCAAAAAATTCAGTACCAAATATCTAATTTTTTTTTTCCTTGGGGGGTCAACGGCCCCCCCCATGCCCATCAAAGTTCCTCCAGTACTGTTCACAATCATTTTCAACTGAAAGTTCTACTTTCGTAGTTAATTGTATTGAAGCACTTGAGCATAAGATGGACGATGAAAAAGAGGAAGTCGATCGAAGATACAGATGATTTTGGAAACTCTGCTACACATGACCATTAATCTACTCATGGCTCACGTTGAGATAGTCTTTTGGATTAGATCTTTAGTTTTTATCTAGTTCTTGTTTGTTTTGAATATCTACCTAGTGCAACTTTTATTTTAAAAATATTTTTATTGCTAACTTCGATGCTTGAGGATTTTGAAATATTTTTGAATTTTTGCTAGTTTTACGTTCTGAGATTCATGGATTATTGATATGTGTTGTGGTATTGTCTCTTATTTAAGGTATAAATATGAATCAGGTTCTCCAAATGTATATTAAATATAATACGAAAATGAATTAATATTATTTTTTTAGTAACGGATTACCGACGGTGAAGCAGTCGGTAGTTATTAATGATCAGAATTGTAATTAGTGGCCGATTAATGATGCAAAATTACTCGTCGACAAAATTATCGTTAAAATATTAGTCGGTATTTATTGACAAATAATTAGTTGGTATTTACTCATCGAAAACAATTAGACGCTAACATTTACCAACCATTTCACCGATAAAATATTATGTCGCTAACTTGAATCTTTCCGACGAAAAAAGGTGGTGTTTTACTGACTAAAAACAATTAGTCGGTAACATGTTTCCAACGAATCACCGACGGAAATGTACGTCGCTGAGTTGAATCTTACCGACGAAAAATCATCATTTTAGATCATATGTGCGACGGAATATTATTTGATCATCGACCCCATTTCCGTCGCTAAGTTACCGACGGTTACAAATTTTGGTCCATAGCATTTAGCGGCGGGGTTTATGCCGACCGATTTGTTCCGTCGGTGAATTCATCGGTATAATTATTTAGCGACTGATTTAATTGATTTGGTGACGTAAATTTCTGTCGGTGAAGCCCTGTTTTCTTGTAGTGAATTCTAAAAGTAAGACTTAACAGCTTATCAGATCTTGAAACAACTTATCAAACGTATGAGCGTATCAAATATTAAAATATAAGCTTAAGTTTACTTTTTTTTTTAAATCATTTGGACGAAAACTTTGAATAATTAATGTATAATATGATATAATTAAAAAAAACTTTAAAAAACTCATTACATTTGATTTAAGTACCAAACAAAATAAAATAAATGATGAAATAAAATATAAATTACAAAAATTATGATGTAAAAATAAGATATATCACTTGACTCAAATATTATAATTATCTTGTCCAATACATTAAAATCCTTAACATGAAAACTTAGTTATCAAAGTGGCTCATATGCATTGACATCATATATAAACCTGTAGATGTTTCATTGTTCATATGCAATCAGTGATACATGTTGCAGCTTCAATACTTAAAAGTGTAAGAAATAAATACAATTTATACCAATTTATCTTGATAAAAAAATCATTAAAGTTGACACTATATTAGCATAAAGTGCAAATTAACCTAAAACTGCAAAATTATTATACATATAAATAATACAAAGAACAAACGTGTTAATGAATCATAATAAAAAAAACTTGTGAAGTACTTTCATACTAGCTGAAAAACACTACCTTGTCGACAATATCGCTAATAACATTAGTCGTCATATTCTGACTCGATGAATATATTTATGCCATATCTACTCTTAACTCGACATTGTAATGAAAAATTATCCATGCAACCTCTAATATTAATACTAATTATAATCATAATTTTAATATTAATTATATTAACACTAAGAGCTCGTTTGGTTACCTATATTGGATTGTATTGTGTTGGATTAATTTCCTTTTGACTAATTAATTACTTAGTTAATAAGATGTTCGGTTTTATTAAATTAGATCTTATATACATTTGTTAAATTCAATTATTATATATGAATTGTCTATAAAACCACTTAGTTTAAAATTTTACATCCGAAGGCATCGTCATCTTTTTGCCTTTTCAAAGAAAAAAATTTAGAAGTAGACCTAAGAAAAGCATGCTTAGGAGAGAGTACATTGTCTTGAACCACAATATTGGAATCTATAAATAAATAAATACTTAAAAATCCCATAAAATATAGTTGCCATCAATTAGAAATTTAGAATAATCCCACGTTTCTATTCAAATATATACAAATACTCATACTAGTCAAGCACGTTTCTTTGCATAATAATTCCAAGAAAACGAATATATATTCTCCCACCCCTTTTCCCCACAATTTAATAAACAAAAATTAAAAATTAAAAAATAGTTCATTTTCAAGAACATGCTTTTCTTTACTCCCTCTTTCGTGGCCATTTCTTTGTTCTTTCATTCCCACCCATCTTTTGTGATTATATTAAAATTAAACTCCATATTTCATTATCCCCATGATAATTTAAAGATTAATTAAAATTTAAAACTAAACATTTAACATATAAAATTAAATAGTGAATTGCATTTTGCACCCTAGAAATAACATATATTGATGACTTGCACCCGGAAATTCTAAATTTGGCGAAATGCATCCTCAAATTATACATATGATCTCTTGTCAACTTGCACCCTATATGATTTAGAATATATTTTAAAGGACAAATTATTCATGACAATAAATTAAAAAGGTCTATTCCACCAATTATTCAAATATAATATTTGCTGCTCAAGTTCCATCCTACGTACGTAACTAATGAATTGCATTGTTCTCCATTATTTTTTTCTTTTTTGGTTTCTAACCTTTTTTTTTTTTTTGGGAAGTTGCTTATTTTTTTTTAATAATCTTGAAAAACAAACTATTTTGTACACTACATGGGATATTGGTATAGTTAAAACATTTCACATATATGCCTAATATATTGACTTACTAATATCTCGATAAAATAATTTCTGAATTTTCTTGTAATTAAAATCTCGCGAGAAATATATATAGGGTGCAATTTGTCAAGAGATCTATAATTGAAAGGTGCATTTTGTTAAATATAGAATTCCGCAGTGCAAGTTGCCAAGAGATATATAATTAAAGGGTGCATTTTGCTAATTTTAGAAATTCGGGGTGCAAATCAACAATCTATGGTATTTATATGTTCAAATTCACCCAATATAAAATGAATTCACCCTAAATAAATGAAATGAATTGTTTGTTACAAATTTGAAATGATCTATGCAAAAGGTAATCAAAAACCCCATAATTTTATTTTGGGTAACTTTTACTTTCCCCCCTTGTACTTTAACTGGATATCACTTTACTCCTTTCTACTCTCGATTGCATCGATTTGTCGCCTTGTACTTGAAGAGTTGTCTCAATGTGGACCTCGCTTTTAGTTTCCAGACCTTTGACATTAACACCGTTTGATTTAAGTCTGAAAATTACAAAAAATCACCCCTCTTAGTTTAAATAATTATTAAAAAAGAAATTGTAGCTAGCGATGTTTTCTCTTGTCTTGAATTATTTATTTATTTATTTTTAATAATTATTTAAATTATGAGAGATGGCGTTTTTGTATTTCAAAGCTTAGATCAAACAATGTTAAGGTCAAACGTCTGATAACTAACAACGAGGGCCACATTGAGACAATTTTTTCAAGTGCGGAGGGGAGGAAGATCGATGCAATCGAGAATAAAATGGGGTAAAGTAATATCGAGCTAAAGTAAAAAGGGGAAAAATGAAATTTATCTTTTTATTTTCAAGTGCTTGCAAATTTTCTAATTGACTTCGACTTATAGCAGAAGTCCTTAATTATGACACCATCTCAAAAGGTAAACTTTTTTTCCCCCATTGTCCATTTTATTTAATTAATTTTATTTTTATTTTTACTTCTCTAAGATAGTGGGGCGGGCAGTCGATTCGCACCATCTAAATATATGTAGTCTTTGCAATTTCCGAAGACTTTTAGTCTTAGATGCTCACAAAAAGAGTATTCCTCCCAATTCATTTTCACACAGACTGATAAAGAATTGTAATATATTATTTTTATACTACAATTTACATAAAAATAAATAAAATTCAATTTTTTTAACTATTTTTAATAAAAATTTAGTACTACGGTTATCACGGAACCGAACCGCATATTTCAGTTCGGTAAACAGTAGTTTTACTGAATGAAACTCCCTAATTGGAAATTTTTCTTATGTTATTTTGAATTGTTAAAAATATCTCGTATTATTAATATTAATATAAACATGAAACGGTAAATATATGACGACTTTTAGTAAATACATGTTATTTTTTTATTTTAATTTGTATATCTCATTCCACCTATTTATCATCTCTTTAACTTTATAGTTTCATATTTAAAAAAAAATAAAAAAATCTAATGTTCAAAATAAAATTCCTACATTTCACTTTTTTTTAGTGTTGAAAAAATAGAGGTCTCTACTTAGAGTGAAGAGTTTTGTGTGATTTTTGTGAATTAAAAACGAAAGAAAAATTGTGAAAAAAATTGGTCTAAAAAATATCACAAATCCAGAAAAACGAGCGCATGCACTAGACACTAGTTTGAGTTATGGTAAAATTTGATAAAATTGTGTTTTGATGATTAATAAAATGCATTATTCTCGAAATAATGTTTTAGCCAAAAAAAAAATGAGGTTAGTGCTAGGTCTTAACTTATTCTATAAAATGTCCTAAATTTACTAAAAGCCGTCATTAGCGGTAGAAATTGGAAGGAAATTCTCAATTTCTGCCAATTTCAATCCGAAATTTTCCAATTTTGAAACAAGTTTTTTCGTCCCAAAATTCTAATTTATGTTTTTTCCCGTATTTCTGAATGGAATCAGAACTAGTTTTTCACTACAGAAAAAAAAAATCAAAATTTTCCTAAATGACTAATTTCGATCTGATCCGATCCATTCGAATTACACTCCTAGGCGTCATGTATTTATCAAGTCCCATATAAAAAGCCACTATTTTTTAGTACATCCCCTAAATTGTGTTTTTTCTTTCTTTCTTTTTTTTTTTTTTTTATTTTAAAGAATGGATTTTTGCTAATAAAATAAGACCAATTTGTTTAAACAATCTGAATGCAGTAAACCATTTTGTTAGCAATGACTATAAAACCCCTTGTGCTGTTCCAAAACACTCCCAAAATCAAACTTTGACACTCAAACCTCAGCTCTACTCAAAATCCCTTCTTTCCTCTTTCTCTTACCAAATAATCTTTTGTCCATTTAATTATTGACAATTAATCATGATTAGTAACAAAACCAAAAGAATTCACAAAAATATTACCAGCATCAATAATTCAAATGAAAGTGGAAGAAGTGATGAATTAAGAAGAGGTCCATGGACACTTGATGAAGACAATCTTCTCATTCAGTACATCACCTGTCACGGTGAAGGAAGGTGGAATTCCTTAGCCAAATATTCAGGTACCCTATTTTTTATTATTACAAGTTACAACCTTTTATTTTTTTTCACACAGAAACACATACTTGAGCGTGAAATTTTCTTGATTTCAAGAAACTTAATTGTATTATTTACTACTGTGTGTGCAGGGCTTAACAGAACAGGGAAAAGTTGCAGGTTGAGGTGGTTGAATTATTTGAAGCCTGATATTAAACGTGGGAATCTTACCCCTCGTGAACAAATCTTGATCCTTGAACTTCACTCCAAATGGGGAAACAGGTGATTTTCATTTTAAAAAAATAATAAATAATTAGTAATTTTCATTAGATTTTATTTCAATTAGTACTCCTGTATTATTTTATTTGCAAAAACCCCCGTATGATTGAATTATTTTTAGCAATTAGTACCCTTGTTTAGGGGGTTGTATGCTAAAAAAATTGAATCATAGGGGGCGTTTTAGCAATTAGATATAACACAGAGGTACTAAATGCAATAAACCCATTTTCATTAAAACAGCATTTTTTATTTTATTTTGTGATAATATTCCAGGTGGTCAATAATCCCCTATGGTTTAGTAATTTTCATTCAAAAAAATTAATTTCTTTTAGTAAATTTTCATTAGATTTTATTTCAATTAGTACTCCTATATTATTTTATTTGCAAAAATCCCCTATGAATTTTTTTTTATTGGCAATTAGTACGCCTGTTTAGGGGGTTGTATGCCAAAAAAATTGAATCATAGTGGGGGTTTTGCCAATAAAATAGTATTGGGTGGTTTTTTAGCAATTAGATATAACACAGGGATACTAAATGCAATAAACCCATTTTCATTAAGACAACATTTAATTTTATTTAATTTTTTGGTGATGATATTCCAGGTGGTCATTTACCAGGGAGAACAGATAATGAGATAAAGAATTACTGGAGAACACGAGTGCAGAAACAGGCCCGACAGCTTAAGATCGATTCGAACAGTAAGAAGTTTCTAGAAGCTATTCGAATGCATTGGATGCCGAGGTTGCTCGAAAAAATTGAGCAAAATAATAATAATAATTCATCATCATCATCATCGGTTGCGAATAATAACCAAGGGGAGTTGCCCTCATCGGACGGTTCAAATTCAAAACCAATTATTAGCAACGCGGTAAATAATAATTCCTCAGACGGTAATTATTCAGAATTATTAACCGCTCCAATTAGTAATTATAATGGTGAAAAATTATCATTGGAAAAAGATCATGACTGTTACCATGTGGCCTATGACGAAATGCGAGAACTGGAGTCTTCCCAGGATATTTCCATGTCGGAATGCCACGTGGATGGAATTGATTGGCTGGGGGGGGACTTGGTAGAAAGCACTTTCTGGAACACTGCTGATGATGGATTGTGGCAATTTTAATTAGGGATTAAGTGAGTAACTAGATCGTTTTGGCGGGTAAATAGTGGTTTGTTTAATTACTTTGTTTGGATTGTATAATTAGATGGCTCTTGTTTTTTTTGTATAGGGCCATAAGTATGTATTCATTAGATAAACTTATGCTATTTTTTAATTATATATATCTGCTATTTTTCTTATAAAAAAATAAATAAATAAATTGTTGGCTGCTGTCTGGAGTAATTAGTTCATGTGACTAAATTGAATTAATTTAATAAAAAAAAGTTAGAAAGAGAAATTAATTATTGTGATTAGAACAAAGTAGAGAGATTAAGAGTAGTGGATGGTGACAGATTGGAATGGGATTGACAAGAACTTGGTAGTGATCAAAACATGATTTTTCAGTTGACTAAGCAATCCACCGATTTTTATTTATCAATTATCATACGCTATTCCAGAGATCAAATCGCATTTCGCTTTGAGATTTAAGAGCTAATATAAGTCCACGTTTACTATATATATATTTCATTCAATTAGAAATATTAATTCGGGGGTCCTCTATCGGAGCAAGTCTAGGATCAAGAAAAGAATAGCGAGTTTTGTTTGTTTTTTTTTTTTTTGGCCGTCTACTCTGCTTCAGTGCATACATACACAAGCAGTTCCATCTCCGTATCAAGGTCGCGCTCGATATCGTCACTAGCATCAATATTCTCACTATCAACAATATCGTCACCATCATATATCATCAATAAGAAACCTTTAGACTTGTTATCCAGGAACTTGTTCAGAAACGAAAGGAACATAGGAGTTTGTCGCTAGGCATTTTTTTTATTGGAGTGGATTGTATTGTGGACTAGTAACGAGTCAAATTACAATTTAGACCGTTCCAACACTAACATTTTACAGATATAGTCATCACAATACACGCATGACGCGTCTATAGAAATTTGACCTTCCAGCCTCCCCGACAGTGAAGGAAGTATCAATATCACTCAAGTATGTGTATAGCTCAACTAATTTCGGAAGTGGTAAGTTAGTGCAAAGTCCTATGATCTAGTACTGACAGCCGCAGTACGAGAATTTCAATTCCAATGAGAGTTAGTTTCTTGTGGGCACTAGGCCCAGGTTCGCTACCCTAACAGGTGGTTGAGTCATCAGCATTTACATTCCTCCATTAACAACCTATTGGTCGGGGGGATGGGAACCCTGGAGCGAGGAATTCATCCAATCTTGTACCATTTTTCTTGTTACTTGCCCTTCCAATAAAACAGCACATTCAAACATAGTTGACCCCAGAAACATGCCATTTTCTCACCACTTTATAACATTATAACATTGGCAAAGGTTATAAACCTTAAAGAGTGGCTAAAGTGGGCTTTTTCCCACATCAATCAAAACTCAAGATTGAAATTCTTGAATCTGAAATCCCCTAAAGTAGATGGGCAATTATTATCAAGCAACAAAATTTAACTTCCACTCAGGATAAATCTTTGCCACGAAAAGCATTCACATAGGTGAACAACATTTGCTTCATAGTATATTATAAAGTCAAGAATCTGAAAACATTTGTCTTATTCTCTCTCACTAGCAGACTAGACTTTCAATCATAGCATGTTTTGTATGTAAACATAAAAAAAAAAAATATCTGTAATTATCCCACTTCTTCACTTGCCTACCTTTCCATAGCTATCTCGCAATGTAACAGTCCGATTAAACACAAGCTTTTCAGGCGAAGAGTCCTTATCAACCACAAAGTAGCCTGTAAACAAGAATCAATTCACCATTTAAACCGCATTTTAACTTTGGAATGTGTAATTAATCACACGGGTCGGATTTGGATTGAATTCAGAATGGACCGATCACATCAAAAATGAACCCAAATGAGTGGATCCGACCCATATTGCTATCTCGAAATGTTGGGTTTTCAATTTATGAAATATGAAGTTTGAATGAATTAAAGTTGCAGGGTTTTAAGGAATATACCTAGTCGTTCGAACTGAAACGCGTCTCCAGTTGCGGCGTTCTTAAGACAGGATGAAGCATAAGCATCTTTTACGACAACTTTAGAGTGTGGATTTAAATCACCAAGATAATCTTTACCAAGTTCAGAAGGATTCTGGTGGGCAAAAATATCAAAACACAAATAAGTTTATGTAATAACATTTTTAAAAGCAAATTAAGAAAAAGGTTCTAACCTCAGAAATGAATAATTTGTCGAACAATCTGACTTCCACTTTGAGTGGATCGACACCTGGCGAAGATTCTGAAACCCAGTGCAGAACCCCCTGAAGATGAAGAGGATATCACAGTAATAATGTTAGAGACATACCAAAAAAAAAACTCGAGAATTAAATTTAAACCTGAATGATTTTATTTACCTTTGGTTTGCTTTTCTTCGATGGGTCATACTCAGCGTGAATCTCGAGAATAGTCTCTTCATCATCGCCTAATATCACTTCTGTGCACTTAATAGGAAATGCATACCTATATATAATATCAGGAAAGAAGCAAAAAATTCAGTGTCGTGTTAAACTTGTCAACAATTCATGGAAGATATACTAAAGTAAGTGATAGGCACCTCAGTAGGACAGATTTCCCAGGAGCAAGTCCGTAGTAATCTTTAGAATCTTTCATCCGAAAATCAGATTGTTCGATGTACACAACCTTAGAGAAGGGGACCTTTACACAACCAAAGGTAAAAGGTCAAACAACTATAATCAGAACCATCAACTGCATACAATAAAATTTGCAACTAAAGATTTGCGTAAACGTTAATTCATATTCAACAGTGGTGTCAAACAACTACACTAATATATACATATATATATGTATATATACATACATACATACATATATATATATATATATATATATATATATATATATATATATATACACACATGTATATATATATATGTATATATATATATATATATATATATATATATATATATATATATATACACACACTAAAAAAATGAAAAAAAAAAAAAAAACACGCGCCCCCCTTATAAAATGGAGGGGGGTCATCTGCGGGAGCATCGGGCCACTTCTTTGCATCGGGGTCCATTACAGAGGCATCCATATTTGTAATTACAACCTAAAATACAGCACAGAGAGGGGGAGTGTCACACTACGTTCTTTAAAATAATATTATAAATATGCCTCCATAAAATTTAACCATAAATACAAATTTACATTGCAAAGTCAACCTTTAGTGGATTTAACACAACCATGGTCCGGGGTGATGTCTTGTTCAGCTCCTCTCTTATATGGTACTCTAGGCGGTTTAGATGTATCAGACTACAGTCACTGCAGCACAGAAATTAATGTTGTCTTAATATAGATTCAAGAAAAAATGTGTCGCACAATAGTAAGAATACAATAAAATAAATTCAAAAAGGAAAAAAAAAAAAAAAAAACCTTCTAGTAATTCCAATCCCTCGAACAAAAGTGTTTATGGCAGTTGCAGTTACACCTCTACGCCGCAATCCAGCGAGGGTCATGAGGCGAGGGTCGTCCCAACCATCAACCCAATTATCTGTTACCAACATATTTAACTGCAATAGCATCCAAGAAAAGGAATATTAGGATCGGTTCTGAGTGATGAAAAAAAATGACATGAGAATTGACCTTTACAAAAAATTCAACACACCTTACGCTTAGACATCATCGTGTTACTGACATTCAATCGAGAATATTCCCATACGTAAGGCTGGTAAAGGCCCAGCGCATCTAATAGCCAGTAGTATGATGCACGGCGTGTCTCAAACTCAAGTGTGCACAGCTGTTTAGAACCAAAAGAAAAAAGAATCATAAGTATTTATTATGAGGAAAACAGATTTTTAGGAGAATATATGTTATCAGATGAACCTTGAAAACACTGGTATTGGGGGGGGGGGGGGGTGGGGGGGGGGTTGGTCAATGAGCAAAATAAAAATTCCACAAGCAAAATAACATACCGAGTGAGTTATGTTTTCAAGAGAATCAACAATGCAATGAGCATAATCATAACTTGGATAGATGCACCATTTGTCGCCTGCATGTGGATGAGGTGTGAACTGGACAAAATGGATGGTAAATAAAAATATATTAGTAAACTCTTTTGAAGATTTGAAAATCGGGAAATTTTATGTTCAGAAACTAACCTTAATACGATAAGCGATTAGGTCATACATATTGAAGTTGTCACTCTGCATATCCTGTTTCATTCTTAATGTTGCCTTTCCTTCCTCAACCAGTCCCCGCTTCATGTCATCAAACAGCTTTAAAGATTCTTCGATTGGTCTATCTCTCCAAGGACTGTTCTTCTTTTCTTCCCTGTATGCCTTTATTTCATCCGGTGTCTGCATTAAATAACAAAGACATTCTTCGTCACAATTAAATATCACACTGAAGGAATTAAAAAAAAACAGCTTAACTACAAATTTAATAATACTATGTTTCAACTTTGGCAACCACTTTCTGTATTTAATCTTGTAATAAGTTAAAGAATGGCTCTCAATGAATGGTAAAATAAAAAAAAAATATGTTAAGAATCCGGAACACGTAAATGAGACGAATGTTTGCCAAGGAAAAACCTGGTGATCAACATAAGCGTGACCTCGTCGTATCAGTTCTACTGCTAGGTCATAGAGCTCTTGGAAATAATCACTGGTGTAGGTGATCTGGAAAATTCCAAACATATTTAAATGGTATCGACATGGCAAAGAGTAAAATTTAAACATTTGGAAAGAAATCATACCTTAAAGGGTGCCCACCCCATCCATCCAACAATTTCTTCAATGTGATCAATATATTCCTTTTTTTCCGCTTCTGGATTAGTATCGTCGTACCTATAAACAAAAATAAATAAATAATTTTAGGAATAAGGAGAACTCTTCTTTAGTAGTTGAGCAATAGGAACCCCACTATTATATTTAACTTCACCAGGTATTACCTACCTAAGAATAAAATCACAGATCAACTGTTGTGGATTATACTAAAAGCAGCAAAATGTAAAGGAATTTGACTTCCGTAAACATCTTTCAGATATGACATGGGTCCATGGTAGCACAGCCCCAATATTGAGCATGCACATAATTACCACAGTAATATTCCAAACTAAATCTTTACTAAATGGACTTCATAAGCATATCTGTATACAATAAACTGAATAACTGACTCTGATGAAGTTGCCGTGCAATACAGAAAATGGAATTCAGTAATTTTCATTCAAAGCGCCCTTCCAACCCACACAGCATCGTAAAACCAAAAGGACAAGGCCATATAGAAGCATAACCAACACAAAAGTACTTCTGTAAACTCCGATATAGACCAACATAGCCAAGAGCCTGTCTGGCTAAGCTTATTTTAAACAGCTAATAAGCTCTTACATCCGATAAGTTGTTTTAAGAGCTGATAAGTTGTTACATCTTATTTTTGGAATTAATATTTGAAGTGTTTCGATAATTAGCTTATACGTTATTTTTACTGTTTTTAAGATCTTAAATAAAAATGTGGGGTATAGCCGTATAGGTATAAGCAGCTTATTTTTATAATTTTTAAGATCTTTTAGAAAAAACTTACCGAAGACTTTGGAATAGCTTATAAGGTTTTAAAACATCTTACAAACTGCTTATAAGCTTAGCCAAACACTCTCTAAATTGAGTCATAGAATCTTTTCAGGGGAAACAAAACAAAGAAAAAGTTCATATAGAAGCATTCCTAACCTCAGATAGCAGCATCCACCTCTCTCTTTTGCTAGGCCAAAGTTCACAAACATAGCCTACACAGTTGGTTTGCAAGATCAAGAGCGGGAACAATAATTCAAAATAATATAAAATTTTGACATACTAGATTCGCCAAACAATTACCTTTGCGTGACCTATATGCAGGTAACCATTGGGTTCAGGTGGAAAACGTGTCAAAACTTTTCCGTCAGTGACCTTCAAATGTTTATTGAGTAGTTCCCTTGAATTGGAAGCCCTAAGCACAGGCCGGTCACTGAAATATATTTCTGTATGTACCTGCAAATAAGCAACAGATCTAACTGCTGATGATCCTAGAACACTTCAAAAATTACATCACCCTATGGGGCTAAAAAAATAAACCCAAATTATCCGATACTCAATCCGAGATAGTATCAGCTCAGTTCGTTCAACAAAACAATGCAAGTTTAAACACATTTATAAGATTTAGAGCTCTATCAACTCGATCCGAAAAACAATGATAAATAAATTTGTCAAACTAGAATTTTACTCGAGTTCAATTAGATTAAAAATATTCAGATTTGACTCGTTTGCAATCAAACACCTCAATTAAAATCAGAACAGGTTGAATTGTAACATGTTCGACTCAGTTTTCTTGTGTTTATACCCCTCGCATCAAATATTTTCTCAACTTTCTCAAAACGTGTACCAGTTCAAAGGAAAAATTCAGTGCTTAAACATGTGAGATGCAATCCGAGTGAAGCAACGCATAGGACTCAAGTCATCAGAAAATCATAAAAGCAGACATTCTAAGTTCCCTATCCTTGTGTCTTTTATCTTAGTATATCCAAAAAGTAATATGTTTACAACAGCAGAGGATGCTATTTAGATTTTGCTACCTTCAAGTTCTGTTCTGGTGAAGGAAATATTGAAAATGGATTGATTTCTTCTTCAGGTACTGGAGCTGCCTCTTCAACGATAGCTTTATCCTGACAAACCGACACAAGTAAGAGAATATGACTATAGCTTATATAATTAATTTGCAAGAGACATTTCATTAACGAATTATCAAACACCATAAATTGCTTGGAGCCATCTAGTAACCAAAAGAAAGACCAACAAATGTATTGGAAGTAATTCAACTGAGAATGAAGCCCATTGGTTCAAAAATGCCGAAAAACACTCATTACTCATATACACATAAACTCAAAAGAAAAAACCCTTCTCAGCAAAATGGTTTGGCTCACCTCAGGTTTAGGCTTCTCTTTTTTCTTTTTTGTGGGCTTTTCGTTGTCTGCAGCTGTTCTTTCACCAAGTAGAGAATATAATTCAGCGTCCACAGTTTGCTGGTGCCAGAAGTTGTCCCAATCAGAAATTAATAAACAAATAAATGAAATGTTAGTGTTAGTTTTCTTATAAGAGAGCAGTGGAAGCGGCATACCTTGACAATCTTTGGATCAGCCCATGGCTGTTTCTTTCTGATCTGACCAAATATTTCGCCAACTGTATCCAACATTGTTATAAAAAGGACTAGTCATGATCATAACAGAACAAAGAAAACAAAAACAGACAGAAGTTCGATAGCATTAGAAGCTTGTACATGATGTTCATTTAAACCATAAGATATCATATCAGAAGTACCGTTACATCCTTACGTCAGATTGTTAGTTTTGTTCACAATTAGATATATGATGTTATGATCGCAATAGATTAATATCCCAAAGGAAAACTAAATGCTAAAAACAATTTCGTAAACAGTGAATTGAAAGGAAATATATACGAGTAAAATATGGGTTCTCTATTTATTATACTGAGACATCAGGACCTAATGTACAGGACATGCAGGTAACACATAAACTCAATGAGAGCAACTGAAAACGACACAGTGTTACATAAACAGGGATTTTCATAACCACCAATTATCATTCTAAAACAGCCCAATAGTCATTATTCAATTATTATATGTAAAACAAGTTATGTGCACCATGGGCAGAAGTAAACTAACCATTCATTCTGTACCGCTGCTCCAAAATAACAGCTTTACTCTCTTCAAAAATTTCATTAACAACCTTTTTAATATCTTCCAGAGAGATCTCAACTCCTATTTAAGACAAAATTCAATGTATAGGATTAGAATATATGAATACATTTGGTAAGAAGTTATATAAGGAGAAACAACGAATAGGCTACAGACAAGTCAATATTAAACCATGCTGTCCAAGAGGGACAGGAAAAAAGGTCAATTTGTTACCGAAACTATTAAGGCGAAGCAAACATTTGGTTGCTGAAAAATCTATTTCAGATTGCAGCATACCCCAAAATTTAATTCTAAGTCAAAATTTCCAATATTGGTATGTATAAAAGGCACTAGTGATTGCTCATACCAATTCCACAAGCAGCTTCAAAATCATCGACGTTCAACTTGTCAGAAGCAGTTGTGGAAAGAAACGAAAAGGCAGCTTCCAACTGAGCAGGAGTTTTAATCTGCACCAGTAAAAAGTAAGGACCTACTCTTGTGCAAGCGGAAGTAAAAAAAAATTGCAAAGACCATGTTTGAAAAGTAATGTTCAAGGAGTCAAAATATAGAAAACACAAAAACAAAGAAGGAAAGGAGCTACAAACCTTCGATGAAATAATATATTTAAGCAGTGTAGGTCGATGTACAAGAGCATTTGCGGGAAATTTCGTTGCAACCTGCCAAGTAAAAGGCACCACATGCATTCCATTTCAAATTTGCATATCACAAAACAAACAGAAGTGTACATCTAGCATATGGCACAAATGTGCTTATATTTCCCAAAATAAGCAATCAGCAATGCAAAATTATCAAATATCATTTTCAAGGAAAGAATTCTTATTCTTAATGATAATTTGTAGGGATTATTCCACTGTCTTATCTAGACTTCTTCTGTCTGATACTCTAAAGTAAAAAACAAGAATCCCGATAAATTCTACTATCAGAAATTAAACATAACTGAAAAAGTACCAACTTACTGTGTACAGTAGATTTCCAACTGTCCGATCGCACCCATCAGCAACACCTGCCTGCAATATAGTAATCAAAGTTGAACTACGTATTAAGCTAATATCCATCAGCAAATACAATATTATTAGTAAAAACATCTACCGAAAAAAGTAAAGACAAAAACCATTTGATTAGATTTTCCACATTTTGTTAACTTAAACATTTCAATCTCGGTAAATCCTCCACTCAACCCATAAAGACATGTGTTTCAATTCTCCAGAATTTCCCATAAAAAAAAATGGAAGTCAATTAAAATTGAAGATATGACACAAAAACAAAACAAAACAAAATAAAAATCCACATGCAGAAGTGAAAAAACTTCAAAACACTAATAATTAACATAAACCAAATCAATCCTAAAGTAAATTGAAATTCCCCTACACCAGTGACCGATTTCTTCAACAAAAACCCGCATGCACCAAAAGAAAAAAGTTATCCCAAGGTAAATTGAAATTCCCCAACATCAGTGACCAATTACCTTCAACAAAAACGCACATGCACAAAACAATAAGTTCAACACACAAACCGCATCATTTGCCCAACTCAATTGCACCAAAATAACACACGCATACCTCGTGAATGACGGCGGTGAGATTAGCGGTGACCTTGTTATTAGCGACGGTGTTTTTTGCAGTATTCTCATCCAAGCCAATCTTCAGAAACAAATCCGCGGGACTCGCCATCTTGTTTGCTCTGCAATTTTTTTTTTTTTTTTTTTTTGATGTTCTTCCCAAATAATGAAAAATGTAATTGGGATTACTTAGAGTGTGTGTGTGTGTGTCTGTGTGCGAATGAAGCTGATTTTAAAACCCTAGCGAGTGGCGACTGAGTCCGGAGATTCCACGATTGAAGATTCTCTTTTGAGGACAAAGGTTTTTGGGTTTTTGCTTTGGCAATCAAGGGTCAGAATTGGGAATTGCTGAATATCTGATTAAAGATTTATTTTGTTTTTCCTTTTTTTTCTTTTTTTTTTTTTTTTTGGAAAATACTTTCCTTCCACGCAAGAATCAAATGGGTCAGCCAATAAGAGCGGATGTGGGCCCAGATATTGATTTAAATATACGGAGAAATTTTGACCTAATAACCGAGTAATTTGGGCCGGCTACTGTTAGCCCATTACAGATACAGAGCAATATACCCGACCCGGTCGGATCGGGTCAAAATCCAATCAGAATGTCTTTAGTTTTTTCTTTTTGGGTAAATTACAAACACCCCCCTGAGGTATGGTCAAATTACAAAAACCCCCCTCTTATTTGGATAATTACATCTACCCCCCTCAACTATGATTTTTTCTTACACCTCCACCCTTATGGTGCCAAAGTCAACATAATCATCTAGATTCCGTGAAATGTGCTCTAGTTTGTACTCGTTTTGTGTAAAAATACAGTTTCCGATGTACCACAAACTGATATATACAAGCTAAAAATCACATATTATGATCATCTTGCTTCATAATGTAGAGTTTGAATGGGATAAAACGGGTACAAAAGTGATAATATTCCATATAATCTCGAAGATTACACTAAATTTGAGGAGTTGAGGGGGTGGTTGTAATTATCCAAACAAGAGGGGTGTTTTTATAATTTGACCATAGCTCAGGGGGGTGTTTGTAATTTACCCTTTCTTTTTATATTAAAAGAAGGATAGTTACTGGTTCTTCAATTCTTCTTATGGTGTCTAGAATCCAACATGCGTAGTCTTGACTAAAGTTCGATCTAAATGTCAAGGTTCTAAAAGGTGATTATCGGGTACGTGGCGGTTTGGGACCGCCACACGATAAATCGGCGCGGCGGTGATTTATCGGAGATAAATCGGAAATATATCGGTTTTTAAATTTAGTGTAATATATTTCTAAAAAAACATTTGTAAATACTCAAAATATATATAAAAGAATATTTAAACATAATTATGTCATATCATTCATATGTTATTATATAATTATAATTACTCAATAAATAACAAAACTTTAAAAATAATAAGATCATAATATAATAAAAGATTCTTACGAAATACAAATACTACGCAAGTTTTTCGCATCAATAATTAATATAAACACAACAAAGCATAAATTGCGGGGTAGTACTTGGTTTGGTTTTGGAAGTTGAAAAAATTGGAGAAAAACAAAAAATCAAAACACACTTTCATTTTAATTTAAATTAAAAAAAAAAAGGAAAAAAAGAAAAAAACCGATTTGTTGACCGATATATCGGTTTGACCCGCCAAAAAACCGCCGCAAACCGCCTCGCCGTAAAAAACCGATATTCCAAACCGCCTCAACAAAATCGTAAAGGTTTATAACCGATACCGATATGGCGGCCGATATATCGACCGTCACGACCGATATTTAGAACACTGCCAAATGTCCACCCCAACATGCGGAGTAATAATTTTACACCACGCAACGATGTGTAAAGTATTTTTTTTTAAATTTGTTATTTGATACTTTTGCATATAATTGTAGGGACGACAAAAAGAAAATGTTCATTTATTAGACATTAATTGGCTCGATACTTTGATATAGGAGTTGCTTAGTAGTCGATACGAACCGATTGTGGGCGAAGGCAATTGTATTTAGCCACGAACATCATTTGATTAGATAGTCAAAAACATTTTAAGTATGATTTTGTTTTGACATGTGAAAGATATTGTAGATGATAGATTTCATTTACTTTCTAACGAAAATCTTTATTATTTTTAGGATAAATTACAGTCAAATTCTGAAGTAAGGTCAAATTACTAAAACTCTATCATGTCTGGCTAATTGCAACCACACATCAACTATGAATCTTCTTACACGTCCATCCTTATGTTTTTAATTCAACATAATCTTCTAGATTCCGTGAATGTTCTCTAGTTTAGACTCGTTTTGTGCAAAAAAAATGCAGTTTCTGACGCATCTCAATATGATATTTACAAGTCAAGAGACACATCTTATGAGCATCTTGTTTCAAAATGTGTAGTTCCAATGTGGTAAAACGGATACAAACTATAGAATGTGCTACATAATTTAGAAGAATCTACTAATTTTAACACCGCAAGAGTCAACTTGTGTGAGAAAATTCATAATTGATGGGTGGTTATAATTATCAAAATATAAGGGAAATTTTCATAATTTGACCTTACCTCAGTGGTGGCCATAATTTATCCTTATTTTTATAAATACATACTATAATTATTTTATTTTTGTTCGATAAATAGAATGCCATTTTTCATTTAACCCAAAAGTAGGAGCCATACAGTTGCAAGTTGAAAAATGCTGAGATTCGAAAACCATATGCAATGTAATTATTGTAATTGAGATGCATGTATTAATAAAATCTAATACAATATGAAATATCATTTACAAAAGGGCATTGTGGGCTAAAACTTAGACAAAGTCAAATTCAACAATAATTAACTTATTGGACAAATCTACTTTTAAAAAAAATCCCCTATCTTTTCATAATTACTTCTCCCTCGTAATTTATACTTTTTTTACATTAACGTTATTTTGTAATGAGTTGATGTAATTCCTAAAAGGGAAGGAATTTTTTATTTTTTTTTTTATTACACTTTATCTCATGGATGAGTTGTAAGTAATTCACACTAATTTACTTCGTTAATGGAATGAAAAAATACAAAATTCAAAAAAAATATAATCTTCCACTCATTGTATGGGGAATTAGAGGGAGAGGAAGGGCGACGTGGGATACAGTGACTGAGGCAAAATATTTTGCAACTAAAAATATCTGATGAGAAATGTAATATTTTAAAATTTAAAAATATTATCTCCTACTTTTGGATACATATTTAATAAATAATATTTAATTGTTATTGGACCATTTAATCGAATATATTCATATCGATAAATTTTGAGAAATCAATACATAAATAATAATATAATAGTAATCTTAAGTATTGAAATTTATTTTGGTTCATTAATTTCTTAAAATATATTTTCATTCATTATTATACAATATATATATTACTTATTATTATTTTTCCAGTAATTTAATTTTAGTTACTTTTCAAATTTCATGATCGAATAATTATTAGATTGTTATGCTTATTATGTTTTAATTTTAAAATATAAAATATTTGATTTTGAGTGGATAAGTGTTAGATACTTTAAAGGGTATTTTTTTTTTTTTTGATGAGTAGATACTTTAAAGGGTAAGCAAAGTGCATTTAGCCCTAACAATAATAATAATAATAATTATTATTATTATAATAATGTATAATAAAAAAACGTGGAGAAAATGAATGGCCGACATTTGGTCTATAATAACCAGTAACCACCCTTCCGAAGCTGAAGGCAAAGGGCTCACGATAAATAAGGGGTATCACAAACACATCAAAATTCCTGTTTCAAAAAAAAATAACACATTTTGTATCAGAGTTTCATTTCTTCTTCTCTTTTTTTCCCAAGAAAAAAAACTCAGAGAAATTAAAAGGGCAGTATTTCTCCTTCATCTGTACATCACACTGCCCCCTGTAATCTTGATTTTCAGAACAGATATATCTCATTTCTCTGGTACGAAACCATTAAACAAACAAAATGTATTTTCATCGAAGACGAGGAAAGATAGATCACGTTTCGATACGAAGATGTTTTCACTTTCAAGATTGATGATAGTTTTTTCGGCTATTGTCTTGTTCATTATTAATGAAACCTGGCAATAATTATCAGCAAACAAGAAAGAACCATTCAACTAAAGCAGGCACCAAACATAAATTATTGTACAAACCTCCAAATTCTTCAATTGGGTAGCAAAAGTTTGAACTTTCAAGTATTGAATTAGGTGGAATTTGAAATACCGAAGAATAAATGCAAAAACGGATGCTAAATGATCAATATAGCTTAGAAACTCGTTTACCTACGAAGCAACAAACTCGTAGCAAACACTATATGTTGTTATTCATGAAATAAACATGGATATCATAAAGCATTGTGTTCATTTGCATATGAAGAAAGGTAAAAAGAATCGAGCCCTACCGTTACCAACATATGCTACTAAATTAACTCTCTATTTTCTTGAAAAAAAACTAAGTATCAACAACTATAATGACAACTACACAAAGATTAGCACTAATCCAGAGTAAACGAGCTTTTCCTTAATCCTTGATCACCATAACTTTTCGCACTTCGTTCCGATCGGATTCCAAAATTATCGATTTTATGTAAAAATTCACCTTCATTGTCAAGGAGCAGATTCAGATACTTTATACATATCAGGTGTAACTTCTGTCAACCAAAGTCCTGGAAAGAGCGTCTGCACGAAATCACCGATAAACGGAAACAAATTAAATGAAATAAGTTTGATTTAAAGAAATTGGTAATAAATCGTTGATGAGAATATGTATTCAACGGGGAATCGGAAAATCGGTGAATCGGAATATTCAGATACTTACATCCAATTGTCTCTGCACAATTTTAGCTCTCTTTTTCGGTCTGCGGGGCGGCCGGTGGCCGACCATAGATAAGAAATCCTCCTCGACGTCTCTTTTCGAAAGCGCCACGGTAAACTTTGGCCGTTCCCTCTTCTCGCCGTTCGCCGCCACCGCGGCGGCATCGCCGCCGCGATGCCGCTTCGGCGACTTGTCGACCACTGTTGCTGCTAACCCCACCCTAGTTTGCAAAAATCCTGAATTGAAGTTCGGCGCATCCATCGCTGCACCGTTCGCGGCGGTGGTATCCTTCTCTCCGGCGGCGGCGACGGTTGCGCCACCGTTTCCAGATGTAGCGAATCTAATCGCCGGCGTCCTACAACCAGCTCGCCTAGTCCTCAAATTCCATGGCTTGTTCGTTACACCATCCACCGAGGCCGCCGCCGGATACGGCGGCGGCGGCGGCGACGGCTGAGAGGCGGAAACCTCGCTCTCCTCAAAATTATCCTTAAAAATAGCGTCTTTCATTTTGTCCGCCGCAGTCTGGAGATCGAGCATCACTTTCTCCCTTATGGCGGCAATACCATTATCGTCGCTGCTAAATCTCCGGCCACCATCCGATGCCGGAGGCTGACCGGCACCCGCTCCGAGAGATCCATGCAGAGAATCAGAATCGGAGTCCTTACCTCTTCCAATTCCACCGTCTCTACTGGTGCGGGGCTGCTGGACAGGATTGTTGCCGCGGCGGCGTTGATCGGACGAAAAGGATTTATCGGCGGCGAAGCGGCGGAGGGGCGAGATTCGGCCATCGGCGTCGGAGTTGACCTTCATACAGCGGAGGAAGCGCTGATTCCGCCACCGCAGCTCGCCGGGCATCGTGAAATTGTGAAGCGTCTTCGATCTCTCCGTCCCCGTAGCCATAACCGGTCATCCACAATTCGCCGCACACTCGCAACAAACTTTGAAAACCTTTTGGCTGCTGAAAACTTCAATTGAAGGAGGAGGAAGAATTAATTAATTGAAATCGAATTGGGGAAAAAAAGAAAGAGAGAGAGAAAGGAATTATGGGAAGATCGCCGGGAAAGAGACGAAGGGGGTAATTTATGCTGTGTGTGATTTTATTATATATATATGGAGGTGGGGAGAAGTGATTTCGACCCGTTTTGCTTTCGGGTCTGTTCGAAGAGTTTCCGGGTTCGGGTTGTGGTGCGCGGGGAGAGTGCCTTGTGCGAATTTGGGCGTCCTTGTTGCTAAACGCGACTTTGATAAAGTGTTGACCTTTGTTGCAATTAAAATCGTAGTTTCTTTTTTAACATGCACCTAATTAATATATAGGGTAAATTACACTCACACCCCTGAGGTATGCTTAATTAATTATAAGGTCCCTATGGTATCGATAATTACACTCACCCCCCTGAAACGTAGTTAGAAACACTAACAGGATAATGCATTCGATACATTATTCCGATAGGGTTCTAATGGACTTTTACTTTTAGCTAGTGGTGGAGATAACATAGAGTTATGGGGAGTTATGGGGTGACATGACTCCCTCAATATTTCTTAAATCATCCATAACTCTTTGTTGTCTCCACCATTTCCTGAAACCAATAGTCCGTTAGAACTCTATTGTAATAACGTATCCAATGCATTATCCCATTAGAGTTTATAACTACGTTTCAAGGGGGTGAGTGTAATTATCGATACCACAGAGACCTTAAAGTCATTTAAGCATACCTCAGGGGTGTCTTTTTTAACATGCACCTAATTAATATATATGAGATTTGAGTTCAATCAATAGAAGTTTGGCGGCGGATATATGCAAGTCCAATTTTTTCTTTGTTCAAACACATATAAAAGGATTCTTTAGTTCAAGACCATAAATTAAATTAATTTTCTTATATCAAGATCGGAGAGGACAAATATACCCTCATTAATAATATTTCTTATAAATCGGCATGCCAACGTCGATATTGCCTAAAAAAAATCGGTATTCCGATTTTTGTAACAAAAATCGGCACGTGGTTACCGATATTTGTAACAAAAAATCGGTCTGCAAATACCGATTTCTGGTATCGGTGATTTGTGGGTTTATGTATTTATTTGATCTTACACAAAGGAAAGGTTGTTTTATTTTTATTATTAGTATTTTGTGTTTTTAATTTGGTCTTGAATTTCATTAAGGATAAATTAGTAATTTTATGTTGGAGGTTTTGAACAAAGATAATTGTTGCCTTGCATATATCTGCCGCCTAGAAGTTTATCTTTTTTTTTTCTTTTTTTTTAAATTCAAATATTGTTACAAATTCGAGCCTAAACCTCTCTAATAGTAGAAGTTTGAAGTCTAGTTTATTTTTAGTTGTTCACATAACAATGGTTTAATCCCACTTTGCACCTTTCAAATAGAGTTTTTGGCACTTTGCATCCTCAAAACACAATACAATGCACCATAAATTGAATAATAAAGAGGATTTCATTTTTTATTGGGTTTTGTTTTTTAGAGTTCAAAAAAAAAATTGTTACTTTTTTTTAACCTCCAAGCTAATTCCGAGCGCACAAAGTGCTATAAAATAAAAATCACACCGGGTTATTGGAAAAAACTGTATTTTCTTACAAAAAAAATATAATAAATTTGTATCACTACATTATTCGATTGATGGATCTTTTAGTGTAATAGGTGGAAATATTATGTAGAAATATTCGGAAGAAAATATAATTTTCAGGTAACTTGATAACAAAAATAGTTGAAGGATTTTATTTAATAAAATATTTTTTTGTGATAAAAAATATTTTTTTTAAATATGTTGATGAAAAATGTATTTTTATTTTTGCACTTTGTAGTTTCAAAATGATTGATGAATGAAAAAAAAATTGATTTCACATTTGCCATCCGAAAAGAATACCATTAAACATATTAAATTGCATTTATTAGCTTTAAAAATTCATTTTAGGTGCATTATGCATAATATATTGTGTTTTAAGGTGCAAAGAACTATTAATCTGGTTTGAGGCTGTAAAGTGTCAAAATGGTATATTTCAAGGGTAAAGTGGGATTAAGCCCGAAACAATTGTGTTGGCTCCGGTAGTCTTTTTATTACTATTAGACATTAGTTATGAAATATATCAAAACGGTCACGGACTAATTGTGGAGTTCGCTCTTCTTAGCAAACATGTACCGGGATTTAGGTGTTAGCAGTCGCTCTATGGTGAAAGAATTTTGTGGGTGCACCATTCTTCTTCCTGTAAATCAGTTAACTTTTTTCTTTTAATTATTAATTTGTACAATAATTAGTTGTTTTGACAAGTTTAAAAAAAAAATTCAATCCTTGGTTTATGAGTATATCTCTTATTTCCGACTAGATAAGTCAACGACATATAGTGTTCCAGTATCGGTGTAAAAGTTTTAAACATAATATATGATACGACTCTGGGAATGCGATCGACAATGCTTTTAGTAGACGCAACTCACATTTGTTAGGATCACTTTCGGTTCTACTTCAAGTGAGAATATATCTCCCAAACATCTTAAAACTCACTCACACATGTCCTTGTTATCATGTCAGCAAAGGCAACAACAACAACAATGGTGAAATTACTTCCTACCGGAGTAATAGAATAATCCCAATTATTTCTAATACAGGTACCTACGTTAAATGTAATTATCATTTCTATCGACTATGAAATAAATTATGATACATTCAGATAGATATTATACATTTGTTTAGTAAGTGCAATTCATCAGTATAACGTACGAAATTAATGCAAAAAGTTGACCGAATTGTAATTGCACAAACTTAACGGCTTGCACTGTTCTTTCCATTGAGTTTGTTCGATGCCATTTTTTATATCATTTTTCACTGAGGCTGTGCCACATACATTGTGCAACCGTCTCCTCTTCATTTTCTTTGTCTAATTTTTGCTCATACTTTATATACATCCCTGAAGGCCGTATACATATCCAACTTAATTAGCCTATCTCAAATGATGCAAGATTTCCTTCAACTCCACGTATCTATATATTCAGAAAATTTAATATTATTACTGATGTGCCTAGTTGGGCTTTAACCCAAAAAGTCCAAGATGCTCATTCAAAGGACAAGCCCAACACAAATGCCTTTAATTATGAACTTCATAAGAAGCTTATGAGAAGAAATCTAATGTTTTTTGTCCCACATTGATTTTCTACAAGAAAACTTTACCAAACTCCACCTATAAATATGTGTTATCAATCACATAACAAGGTACGCACTATTTAGGCAATTAAATAACATTAATTGTTTAAATTGTGATAGTTTGCCATGGGCTAAAGAAGAGGACAATCGCCGGGCCACCACCGGCTTGTCACCTAGTGTTTTCAACTGTTTTCAACTGTTTTGTAGGTTAACGAGTGGAGCGATCCCTTCGACTACCTCAGACACGTGGCAAGGACTCTCGGCATTCTCGATATTGGGCTTGAAGATTCCCGGACTTAGGAGACCTGTGGGCTTCAAGACCATTGGGCTGACCCAACATTTTGGAGCAGCATCATTTTAGCGCCGTATGTGGGAATGCAAACTAGATCGCGTGTCATGAAAGGAGGTGGTCAAAGAGATCCCAACCAGCTTCCTTGAGGAAGCGACGGAGTCTCAGAGCCGCCTCGAGGTAGCGGCAGAGTCTAAGAGCCGCCTCGAGGAAACGACGGAGTCTCAGAGCCGCCTTGAGGAGTGGTAGAGTCTTAGAGCCGCCTCGAAGCATAAGCACTACGAGAGCGGCCAACGAAGAGGATCAAGGCGATTCCAACCAACCGCCTCGAGGAAACGACGGAGTCTCAGAGTCGCCTCGAGGAGCAGCAGAGTCTCAAAGCTGTCTTGAAGGAAAAGAACTACGGGAGCAGCCAACGAAGAGGGTCAAGGCGATCCCAACCAACCGCTTCAAGGTATCGGTGGAGTCTCAGAGCTGCCTCGAAAGAAAAGAACTACGGGAGCGACCAACGAAGAGGGTCAAGGCGATTCCAACCAACCGCTTCAAGGTAGCGGTGGAGTCTCAGAGCTACCTCGAAGGAAAAAAACTACGGGAGCGGCCAACGAAGAGGGTCAAAGCGATCCCAACCAACCGCTTCAAGGTAGCGGTGGAGTCTCAGAGCCGCCTCGAAGGAAAAGAACTACGAGCGCGGCCAACGAAGAGGGTCAACGCGATCCCAACCAACCGCTTCAAGGTAGCGGTGGAGTCTTAGAGCTGCCTCGAAAGAAAAGAACTACGGTGGCCAACGAAGAGGGTCAAGGCGATTCCAACCAACCACTTCAAGGTAGCAGCAGAGTCCCTAGAGCCACTTCGAAGGAAAATAACTATGGGAGCGGCCAACGAAGAGGGACTAGACGATCTTAACCATCCGCTTCAAGGTAGCGGTGGAGTCTCAGAGCCATCTCGAACGAAAAGAACTACGGGAGCAGCCAATGAAGGTGGTCAAGGCGATCTCTACCAGCCGCTTCAAGATAGCGCTGGAGTCATACAGCCGCCTCGAAGGAAGAGAACGACGCGAGCGGCCGACCTTGCGGGATCTTCAACGTCGAATAAGTTGAAACATAACTTATTCTTTAGGAAATGCGCGATTCTCACTAGGCAACAAAGCCAAGGGATATCACAACTTTCTCCAATAATTTTGGCGATTGATCGCCGCCGTACAACAAATGGGCCTCCCTTATAAAAATATCATCACCTAACTGCAGTGCCCGCCTCTGCAAGATCCCTGTAGCCGACTTCAAAATTTCCTACCACCTTGAAACTCAAGGAAAACAAGAAAATTATTTCGTCTTCGAGAGATTATTCCTAATTACTCCCTTGCAGACCCACGGGCCCGTGGCTCAACCTGGGAGTGGGGGGCTTAATGATGTGCCTAATTGGGCATTAATCCAAAAAACCCAAGAGGCTCATTCAAAGGACAAGTCCAACACAAATGCCCTTAATTATGAACTTCATAAGAAGCTTATGAGAAGAAATCTAATGTTTTTTATCCCACATTGGTTTTCTACAAGAAAACTTTACCAAACTCCACCTATAAATATGTGTTATCAATCACATAACAAGGTACGCACTATTTAGGTAATTAAATAACATTAATTGTTTATATTGTTATATTTTTTTGACTTGAGCGTCGGAGGACAATCGTCGGGCCACCCCCAGCGTGTCACGTAGTGTTTTCAACGTCGGGCCACCCCCAGCGTGTCACTTAGTGTTTTCAACTGTTTTGTAGGTTAACGAGTGGAGCGATCCCTTCGACTACCTCAAACACGTGGCAAGGACTCCGATATTAAGCTTGAAGATTCCCGGACTTAGGAGACCTGTGGGCTTCTAGACCATTAGGCTGACCCAACATTTTGGAGCAGAATTACAAATTCAAAAATAAAATCTTATATACAATATTTCGAATTAATATATAATTTTTGTGATTCGATTTCAATCACAATATTTCGAAAATTGAGAGTGATAAGGTTGACAAATGATACACCAACCCTCATTAGGAGAGTTGGTACCTAGCCTTTACCAATAGGGTAACGGTCTAGGGTTCGATCCCCCCCACCCCTATTTCCCCTTGTAATGGACTTGAATTTACTCAAAAAAAAAAAGTTGACAAATGATATGATAAAAAATAGGAAAGAAATAATTCAAAAATTGAAAAAAAATATTATAAGATATGTACAATCATAACCTCAAAAGTGCGTGTAAAATTGTCATTAGATTTTTTTAGTATTTTACAAGCAACTATTTTTTTTGTTAATAAGATTATACTACGATCACTAAAAAACAATTGCAGAAAGTAATTATATTTTTTTTTGAAATTGGTCAAAATAAATTAAAAATGGAAATATTTTAAACTTCGAACAAACGTTTAATTTTCAAATATATATATATATATATATATATATATATATATATATATATATATATATATATATATATATATATATATATATATATATATATATATATATATATATATATATATATATATATATATATATATATATATATATATATATATATATATATATATATATATATATATATATATATATATATATATATATATATATATATATATATATATATATATATATATATATATATATATATATACCTATATATATATATATATATATATATATATATATATATATATATATATATATATATATATATATATATATATATATATATATATATATATATATATATATATTTATATCAACATATATTTTTTATCACTTATACTATCTATATCAAAAAAATTTTTTTATATTTATTTTTTTTTATATATATATATATATATATATATATATATATATATATATATATATATATATATATATATATATATATATATATATATATATATATATTATTCTTATTCTTAGTATTATTATTAACTTAAATAGTCTATAATAATAAATATTTCTAGTATTTAAATAGAAACAAATCTATATTACTTAAAAAATTCATAATAATCTAAAATATTATAATAATAATAATAATAATAATAATAATAATAATAATAATAGAAAAATTAAAAAATATATATAACTAGCGTTC